TCCACTCACCTCAGCCTCCCAAAGGTGCGGGATTCCAGGCTGAGCCACTGAGCCCAGCTTGGAGGTCACCTTTTGATCAGCCCCTCTCCTTCTTCTGCTCTGTCTCTCTACCACCTCGGCCTGTTGGAGTCCTTCCTGCCCTCTGAGACCCCATTAAAATACTTCCTCCTCCTCAAAACCTCCCTGATAAGCAAAGCCAGAAGCTCTTGTAGCAAGTGCTTGTTGTCTGTGTCCATGGTAGAAAACGATCCCTGTGTGCCCTGATGGTGTGATTTGGGTACACATCGTGTTGGAGGGTGTCATCTATTCATTTATGTGCTTACTGTCCTCTCCTGGACAGGGACAATGTCCATCCAGAGCTGATGGACACACCCAACCTGAGTCTCTAACACCTAGTCCCTAACACTGAGCACAATACAGACAGATACATTTCTGCTGAAATAATGAGCGGGCACACAGATGGTCAAGTGACCGAATCAGGGAACGAGTGCTGGGTTTTTGCAGCTCATCTCAGCGCTCCAGGAAGACGGGCTATCTCCCCATGATCAGACCGGTGATCTCATGCAGGCTCAGACATCAGATCTGGGAAAAATCACTTTCCCGTCTCATCCCCCGCTTTTCGCCCCCAGGTTGGGCAGCAGTGGTACAAGCCAGGCTGCAAACAGCTCTGTGTCTGTGAAGGCAACAACAGTATCGTCTGCCACCTCTGGGGGTGCAGAGCCCAGGAGGTCTGCAGCCAGCAGGATGGCGTCTACAGCTGCCACGCCCGAGGTGAGCTGGGGCCTCCCCCGGTGACCGCAGACAAGGGACGGCCCCGCCCAAAGAGGCTTCCCCGGGAGTCTGGGAGACAGGTGCCCAGAGCAGGGGCCGCATCTTCAAGGACTCCGAGAGTGGAGTTAGGGAGGGCGGTCTTCCTCCTCAACCCCTCCAAGCCAAGCCAGCCACACGTCCTAGAGAAACACCACGTCTCCGGATGGGACGTGGGGACCCTCCCAACAAAGACTCGCCAAGGTGGCAGCCCTGGGTCAGGGCTTCCGGGGCTTGGGGAGATGAGACTCGGAATGCCGTCTTCTCCTCCCCAGGTTATGCCACCTGCACTGTCTCGGGTGACCCCCACTACCTGACATTCGACGGAGCCCTCCACCATTTCATGGGCACCTGCACCTACATCCTGACTCGCCCTTGCTGGTCCAGGCCCCAAGAAAACTACTTTGTTGTGAGCACCACAAACGAGAACCGCGGGGGGAACTTAGAGGTCTCCTTCGTCAAAGCCGTCCACGTGAATGTCTTCAACCTCAGAATCTCGCTGCTCAAAGGCTGCAGGGTCATGGTGTGTGGCTCCCTCCCCCACGCCCCCACCTCCCAGACCCCACAGCCCCAGCCTGCTCAGCCTCTCTCCTCTGCCTTTCTTACCTGCACGCCCTCTGTCTGACTCTCTTTTGCTGGTTTTTTTTGAGTTGGAGCCTCATTCGGTCGCCCAGACTGGAGTGCAGTGGCCACTCCCGGCCACTGCAGCCTCGACCTG